AATGATTTATGTGATCCGAGAGCCCAAGGCCGACTTATAAAGTGATAATAGATGAAGTAACGTCTGGCAATCTGATAATTTAGCACGGATGAATCATCTGCAACCATCTCCAAACACTCAATATAGAAGTAAAAACTAAACGATAAGTAGACTCCTCAACTGTTGGATATTAAGACCATATTATCGATGAATCATAGGTAATAAGTACAAAGCTAAACTCTCGCAGATATCATAACACATACCATGGAGCAAAAAGGAGGCTTCATTTTCAAACCAAATTCCTCTGTAAGTCATATACTCAGACAAATGTCAAAGGAATCCAAGTATATGAGAGTCAAAAAGTAGAAATCAAGTTGCTTATAAGCTAAAAATTGAGAACATAAGCCAATGCCCATGAGAATTCATCCTAAGGACTACAGAGTTCTAGAGCTCCTTGTCAATTCAGTCTTACCAGGATTTAGACAACCTAACCCTGCACTTTAGCATGCTTGGATGGTGACAAATTGGACGCGCCAGCTACATTTGCTTCACAATTTCCAACAACTTCAGACTCGTGAGCTTTATGTTTCTCTCCCACATCCCGTGAATTTTCCCTAGCTGGTACGTTAGATGATTTCCTGCCTGTTTCCCTACTGTTGACTAATACTCCTGAATCAGATTTGGATAGAGCATTTCCCACTGAATCCATGAACTCCTTCAAGGAGTTTTCAGTCGCAGATGAAGTCCCCTTGAGCATGTTCATGCCCGACTTGCACTGCTTCTCAAAAATCATCTGAAGGTGACGCCTTTGCTCTTCCATTCGAAGCTGCAGATTTCTTTGAATCTGCAAAAGAATAATTAGAGAATAATGTATGGAGGTAATAAGCAGAAACTGCTAGTTACACTCAGAATTTTAATCCCTAATTCTCCTTCGAATATGTGACTTAAAATGCCAGTTGTAAAATCTTGACCAAGCTGCATCACTTTCCCAAGGCTGTAGATTTGATACTAGGGAACTTATCAAACAAGACAGTAGCTGTGCCACCTATAAAAGATATTTCACTATGATACTAACCAAGAAAACAAGACCCCTCAGCAAATTATCAAACATAGCAATAATAGAAGACTGCATTAGTAAATATTTCTCTGTTGCTGCAAGAAGCATTAATATTCTGTTTATGTTATGTATCAAATATTAAATTTTGCATCAGCCAAATTACAACTTATGAACCTGATATGAGGTTTAACCTATATTATATGACACCTTCAAGTTAAAACCAATATGCCGCATGAATTCATACCTCTACTGCACATGAAGCCGCTTTTGGACTCCATTTGCATTCTCAATGCTACAGTCATCTCAATGCCCCTATTCGAAATCAAGAGGTGTGCAATCAGCAATAGAACATAGAGGATATAGAAAACTAAAAGGAAACTCAGAATGAGGCTACGTAAGTGATGTCCCACTGTTAGTTGATTGAGATACGAGATGAGATTGTCTTGGATGGTTTTCTTGTCGAGGCAGAGATGAAAAATGAAGATCGGTAGAAAATCCTGAGGATGAAGAAA